CCCCCCCCCCATGGTCATGTGATCAAAATTCAGATGCTTGACTCGTACTTACGACGGTTTGCGGTGTCCCGGGGTCACGCGATCCCCTTTTGCGACCATCTGACAGGGGAAACCGGATTCAAATAACAACCGTGTTAGTAACTTAAAAACTGCAGTGTTTCACTTAACAACTGTGGCAAGAAAGGTGGTAAAATGGGGCAGAATTAACTCAGCAAACGTTTCACTTAGCGACGTAAAATGACGGGCTCTGTCATCTGGGGAGAGAGCAAGGAAGCTGATCTGAGAGGAAAAGTGATGCAGGTTGAAATGTGAGGACCTGCGATAAACTTTGATTCAGGGTCACCCTGGATTGATAAATCTATGCTCCGCTACTCCAGAATGCAAGCAGGAATTGCTGTGATAGGGTATCTCTCCCGATCCCTGCAGGTAGAAAGCTCGCTCATTCCCCCCCCCCCTTCCCGATATGCTGACTTTCTACATGCAGGGATTTCATTGACCCGGTCTGGAAAAACACCCCGTTTCCCCCATTTTGCATCTCCCGTTCAGTTGTGTTGCGACTTGCTGGCATAATTTTACTTTATCTTCCCCAGCAGTGGCAGCTGATCAATGGCTCACTTAATCTCTCTTTTTTCATTTGCACCTTAATTACCCTTTTGTGGAAGAGCTTAATCGCTGTCTGGCAGCTTCTATCTCCACCGAGGGGTTGACGGGAAAGATTCCTTTTGCTTGTCCCTGCCACATTTCTGTGGACCAAATGGAAAAGTTGCTTGCTGATTTTTTTTTTGGGGGGGGGAGGTGTCATCCGAGTGGAGACAGGAGAAACTTGACGAAGCATGCTGTGTCATTCAAAAGCTTGCACGCTTTTGCAGCCCCCGGTGCTAAAAACAGAGGCTTCTTTTGGGCTTTTCAATATTAAAGTCTTCCCTGTTACTACAGTATCCCCTTTCAGCGACAGACAGCTTGGTGTGCTAAATTGAGCGCCGGGGAAAGGAATGAATGGAGTTTGTAACGAGGCAATAATTCTCTGAACATGCGCAGAGGCTTTTGTCATCGAGAGCATCTCTGTTCCTTGATGCACGTGTCAAGAGTCAGATCCGACTTCGATCACCCACTTGAATTGTGGGCTATTCTATTCTATTTTATTCTATTCTATTCTATTCTACATTCCTTCTATTCTATTCTATTCTATTCTATTCTATTCTATTCTATTCTATTCTATTCTATTCTATTCTATTCTATTCTTCATTCCTTCTATTCTATTCTATTCTATTCTATTCTTAATTTCTTCTATTCTGTTCTGTTCTCTATCCTATCCTATTCTATTCTCTATTCTCTATTCTCTATTTTCTATTCTCTATTCTCTATTTTCTATTCTCTATTCTCTATTCTCTATTCCTATTCTATTCCATTCCATTCCTCTATTCTATTCTATTCTATTCTATTCTATTCTATTCTATTCTATTCTATTCTATTCTATTCTATTCTATTCTATTCTTTTTTTTTTCAATAAATTTTTTTTATTATTTTCATCATAAAAAGAAAACATACAAATACAACACAGATATAATATAAAACCCGCATCCCCCCCCCGAGACTTCCCAAACCTAATCCCTGGATAATATTCAAATATAAGTAAACAATTAATAATATCTCTAACTCCACAAGGTATATAAATTCTGCATGAATAAAAGAAATATATACATAAAAAAAAACCAGTTAATTAAAAACCTAAATTATATTCCACTATTCTATGCTTCTTTTGTATATAAACAATCCATCTTCTCCATATTCTATTCTATTCTATTCTTCTGTTCTACTCTATTCTATTCTATTCTATTCTATTCTATTCTATTCTATTCTTCTGTTCTGTTCTATTCTATTCTATTCTATTCTATTCTGTTCTGTTCTGTTCTGTTCTGTTCTCTATCCTATCCTATCCTATTCTCTATTCTCTATTCTCTATTCTCTATTCTCTATTCTCTATTCTCTATTCTCTATTCTATTCCATTCCTATATTCTATTCTATTCTATTCTATTCTATTCTATTCTATTCTATTCTATTCTATTCTATTCTTATTCTAAATGTCTGCTCTGTCTCCAAAAGACATGCGAATGTGTGAATGCGGACTGCTTTGTGCTACCCAGATGGTGGTTTTCTGCCTGCCACCTGATCATTGCACATTTTTGGCGCTCGCTGGGATTTAGTCCATGGCCACGGGCAAGTCGGCCTTGTGATGGGAAAAGAGTGAAGACAGCTGGGAGAGGCACTTCCCTTGCTAATTATGGGAGGGTTTGTTTTCGGTTATTTTGGGTATGGCTGGAGAAACCGACCCGGTCTGTTTCACTGGAATCAAGGACCCGGGGGGGGGGGGGGGGAGGGGGAGAGGACAATGAGACATGCATGTGGATGAAAAAGACGCAGGAAACAGGAGCTTAATTGTTCTAATTAATTGTTCTAACTGTCATGAAATTCCTCCTTAGTTCTAGGTTGCTTCTCTCTTTAGTTAGTTAGTTTCCATCCGTTGCTTCTTGTCCTGCCTTCAGGCGCTTTGCAGAATAGCTTGACTCCCTCTTCTTTGGGGCAGCCCCTGAGATACTGGAAGACTGCTATCATGTCACCCTTAGTCCTTCTTTTCACTAGGCTAGACCTATCCAATTCCTGCAATCCGTTCTTTGTATGTTTTAGCCTCCAGCCCCCTAATTATCTTTGTTGCTCTTGTGCTGGGCTTCAGATCAATGGAAAAGCTCTGGATGCAATCCAGGGTCCATTAACTGAGCTCAGTTCCCAGTGATATCAGTACATTTTTCATACATTTCTTGGGGTGGGATTTAAACTTTCCCAGCTGAGATAAATGGGTTGGAGGGCTTCACCGTTCAATCAAGAAGGCCGAAGTTTAAAAAAATTGTGGCCAGGAATGTAGCAGGCCCGATGCTTAACTCAACCTCCCTTCAGCCTCTATCTTATCTCTGAAAACGAGAAAAAAAGTATTTTTTTCTTTGCCCCAGGATGTCAGGATACACCTTAATGAGGAAATAAAGCATTTAGCCTCGGAAGGAGCTTTGTTATATCAAGCGATGTTGATCTGGAGCATAAAATTGCTGCAGGAATTAAGCAGAAATAACTGGCACTGGGGGTTTTGGAGAAATATTTTTTGCAGAGATATGGAAGCATAAACAAATAGGTGAAGGCTATAGGCTTTGTAACGATGTTTATGTGAGGGGGAGGAAAATCAAAACTGCCCACAACTAAAAGCAGCTGAGTTTGCAAAATTAGTCGGTGTGCATTTGAAGGTCCCTTATGAGGGCTAATTTTGACTCTTCCTGGGCTGGTAACTCTTCATTTAGAGTGAAATTAAGAGAGTGAGTCTGATTAATCCCAATAAAAAAGAGACTAGAGCTATTGTTGAGGACTCAACCACTGAACCGGTCGGGCAAATGGTAAAGATGCCGTTATAAAAATCTTAAAATCTTCAGCTGGGCACGGCGATCCATCAACAAATGCTTTTTCTGCGACATCTGACCTTTTGGGAACGGAGGCATCTGCGGCTGAATTTAGAGTTGCCAGCTTTTTGATCTTGGAAAAATTATTGCCTCTGGGCGGTGTGAAGCTGGGCAGGATGAGAAGAGCCACGGGGAATGCGTCTCTGTCCTTGGGTCTTTCGAGAAAGAAATGGCGTTTTAAGCCATGGGAATTGTGCAAAGATGGGTAATATTTTCCTTTGGGTTATCTTGGTAATGCTGATGATAAGAAGTACAGTATATTTAGTGTGTGTGTGTATGCAGACAAACAAACAAACGAACAAACACACACACACACACACACACACACACACACACACACATATTCCCTTGTGTGACAAATCCATTTGTTGTGGGAAGCCCACCTTCCTTCCTTTTTGCATTCCTTCCTTCCTTCCTTCCTTCCTTCCTTCCTTCCTTCCTTCCTTCCTTCCTTCCTTCCTTCCTTCCTTCCTTCCTTCAATTTCCTTTCTTTTCTCCTTCCTACCTCCCTCTCTTTCTCTCACCTCTCCCATCCCTCCCTCCCTCCCTCTCTCCCTCTCTCCCTCCCTTCTATTCCTTCCTTCTATTCCTTCCTTCCTTCTATTGCTTCCTTCCTTCTATTCCTCCCTTCCTTCCTTCTATTCCTCCCTCCCTTCTTTCCTCCCTCCCTCCCTTCCATTCCTTCCTTCCTTTCCACCTTCCTTCCATTTCCTTTCTTTTCTCCTCCCTCCCTCCTTCTCTCACCTCTCATCCCTCCCTCCCACTCTCCCTCCCTCCCTCCCTTCCTTCTATTCCTTCCTTCCTTCCATTCCTTCCTTTTATTCCTTCCTTCCTTCTATTCCTTCCTTCTATTGCTTCCATTCCTTCCATCCCTTCCTTCCCTTTTCTAAGAGTGTTTTTCTTTTTTGGGTACAGAACTTTGCCAGCCAAGAGAATGGAAAGGAAAACTTGGACCAGCGGTTCCCCAGCCTATTCAAGAAGGGACGGAGGAGAACGGTGGTCCGGAATCTGGGGAAAATAATCCACTACTCCAAACTCAAATTTAAGTTTCAGCACTGCCAGGTGAAAAACCCCTGTCAAATGCTTGAAGCTTCTGAAGGCTTCTGGGCCGGCGCGTTTGCTACCCATTGGTTTCTTCTGCTTGTTATATCGTTCAGTTGTTCATCTTTATTCTGCGCAAGATCGACTCCAATGAATAAAAAGCTTTCTGTGTCTTTTCTTTCACAGGAAGCAAACGACTGCTATTTGGAGCTTTTTCAAGAATTCCTCTATTTTCAGTCCCTTGGCCCCAACGGACACAAGTATCAGGTAAATGAGGATTTGGTTATCCGTGATTAGAAACAACAGCGACGTCTGTTTCCCCGTTCCATTCTTAGCATTTCCAGGCACATCGTGGAAATTTCCCCATTAGATAGCAGTGTTCCAGTATCTCAGGGGCTGCCCCAAAGAAGAGGGAGTCAAGCTGTTCTCCAAAGCGCCTGAAGGCAGGACGAGAAGCAACGGGTGGAAACTCATCAAGGAGAGAAGCAACCTAGAACTCAGGAGAAACTTCCTGACAGTTAGAACAATTAACCAGTGGAACAACCTGCCTCCAGAAGCGGTGGATGCTCCAACACTGGAAGTTTTTAAGAAGAGACTGGACAGCCATTTGTCTGAAATGGTGTAAGGTTTCCTGCCTGAGCAGGGGGTTGGACTCGATGACCTCCAAGGTCCCTTCCAACTTTATTATTATTATTATTATTATTATTATTATTATTATTATTATTATTATTATTATTATTATTATTATTATTATTATTATTATTATTATTATTATTAAACCAGTCAGTTTCTCCTCTCTCTCTCTCTCTCTCTCTCTCTCTCTCTCTCTCTCTCTCTCTCTCTCTCTCTCTCTCTCTCTCTCTCTTTTTTTTATCCTGGTGATTCTCAGTACTGGATCCCCATTTGGCTGGGTTCTGCTCCCCTGCTGTCTGCCTCCTTCTTGATCCAATTTATCTCTCTTTCCAAAATGCGCTTGCCAATTCCTCCCTAAAGGTGTGTAACCCAAGATCAGACAGGGCGAAAAACAGCTGCAGTTTCATTGTGTGTGAATCACTGAGTGACACAGGCTATATGATGAAATGTTTCTGTTGTTGACGCTTGGCAAGGGTATTTTTGAAAGTTAAATTTTAACACTTCCACGGCCTCTTGGCTGCAGGCTTCCCCGTGCAGGCAGGTCCCAATCCACCAAACCCACCATTTTTAGAAAAAAATTAGAGCTGGCTTTTGAATAACAGCCAGTGGGACACCTCCTCATCAGAAGTCGGATCCACCCGTAGATAAAGTCTGAGGTTCTTTTCATTGCCATTAAACTGTAGCTTGATATCCAGACGTGAAAAGTGCCTTAATCAACTTGATAAAAGAAGATTGGACATGGGAGATGAGGTTAACAACTGACTTTTTTTTCTCCTGCAGGGTTTGCTACCCCTGACAGAACTGCGGGTGGCCAAACTTGAAAATGAAAATGGAATTCAAGAAGATCTGCACGCTTTTCAAATTACAGGTGAGGGCAAAGTCTCAGCTGAGGCTCAGAGAACGGTCGAGAAAAGAAAGAGGGCTGGTAGAAAAATCTTGAGGGCCAGGAAAAACCACGGTCAGATAAGAGAAATCTAAGTCTGAAGCAGGAAGGTAATTTGAGCAGGCATCTCAGGTAGTCCTTATGACCACTATTGAGGCTAGAATTTCCATTGCTAAGCAGCTGTTAAATGAAATTTGCAGTCATTAAGTCAATCCAGCTTTCCCCATCGGCTTTGTTCATCGGAAGCCTGCTGGGACAGTCGCAAATGATGGTTACAGGACCTTGGGATGCTGCAACTATCATCAATAGATGCTGGTTGACAAATTGCCTGACTTTTGACCGCGGGGCTGACTGCGAAAATCGTAAGCGTGAGAATTGGTCAGGTCCCTTTTTTTCCAGTGCTGTTGTAACCTTGAAATGTCGCTGAGCAAATGGTTGTAAGTTGGGGACTAGATGTATAAGATTACTGTAGCCTTATAGTAAAAATAATACAGGTTGACTTACAACTATTTGTATAGCGATCGTTCGAAGTCACAGCAGCTCTGGAAAAAAAAGTGACATGGTAGTTTTCCACATTTACGACCGTTGCAGCATCCTCAGGGTCACGCGATCAAAATTCAGACACTTCTGATAAAGGGAATTGGGGTTATTTAAAACTTGGAAATTATAAATATTAAACGTTACATTTAAATATTAATGGGAAACTAAAAATTGGGAAAAACGTAACCAGGACATTGATTGTCTAAAAAGACTGAATGTTAAAACAACTAGGATATGTATAAATTAACAATTATTGATAAATGTAAGAATTGATAGAATAAGAATTGTATTAATTTAAATATGAGACAGTAAATACCAAGGGGAAAAGAGAGGAAATATTTAATGTAATAGTTTGTGATCGGTACTAAAGATATATATGTGTTATTGAATTATTGACCAACTCAGCCGCCACGTTGCTTTTCAAATATTTAAATGTAAAACTAGAAAATCAATAAAATGTTCTTTAAAAAAAAATATTCAGACACTTGGCAACTGACATGTACTTAGGACGGTTGCAGGGTCCCTGGCGGACATGGGATCCCGTTTTGTGACCTTCTGACAAGGCGGATTCACTTAACAAATATTGTGACTAAATAATTGCAGTGATTCACTTCACAATGGTGGCAAGGAAGGTCATAAAATGAGGCTAAATTCACTTATGAGCTGCCTTGCTTAGCCATAGAAATGTTGGACTCAATTGTGGTTGTATATCAAGGACTACCTGTGTTAGCCATTCATAGCTTTGGTGTCTGGTCTGGACTACCTCAAAGGGCTGGCATGAATCTCCTTCCTGTTGCTCACAGCCCAGAATAAGTCTGAATTCTGTTGCCTGTCCTTCACAGCCCATAGATATTGCCTTTTGCAGCCTTCCCTTCTGCATCTAACCAAGCTTAGGTCCTTCAACCACTCATCATAGGACTTGGTTTCCACATTGGTCCTCAAGTATCTGAGCATCACCTGTTGTTTTAGTTTTCATCTGGCCCAGAAGCACGTAGGCAGCAAGACACATACGCAAACACCCGCTCACAGGTGTTCAGCAGCATCCACAATCTTTATCAGTCCTCTACGTCACGCCCATTGACAGTGGCAGAAGAAGCCCTGCTGTCAGGATGACTAAGAAGTCGGTCTTATTCTCCCAGGAAACATTTTCCACCAAGGGTCATGATTCAGAAGAAGGGGAAGCACAGAGAATCTTCAGTCCCTCTCTGGAAAAAAAAGACTAGCAAAATTCTGAATTTGCTCTGCCCTCTATTTAGGTTTTAAGATGGAAATGTTCTCGTTCAAGGGTCCTTTGGAAGAAGCCAAGCATCTTTTCCATCCCGTTCTTCTTACTGCCCGTTCTCTAGTCAATTTCACATCAGGGCTTGTCAATTTCAAAATTCCTTCCAGAACTGGTAGGAAAAAAACCTCTGGTTTTTGATGCACCTGTTGTTGTTGTTTCTCCAACGGGTGGATTTTATAAATTCTATCAGCCCTGCCCATTCACAAGTAAACTCAAAGCAGCATCCGAAGAGGGTTCAAAACCTATACTAAAAAGGCAATAGTAAACATCAAAACAATAACCCCTCCAGGGAAGATAAAAGTTTTAAAAAAAGAAACAAGTGTTTTAAGTCCTGCTTAAAAGCAGAGATGGGGCTGTCAAACTGAGCCAGCGTCTTCCCTTAATATATTGCAATGAGTAAAACCACTAGTAATAATTTGAAATGCAGTTTGTTCCATGGCCTGTAAGAGTGAATCGGCTGTTTTGCTAACATCCACAGCGAGTCTGCTCCGCTCGTTTATTCCTCCTTTATAAACTGAATGACTGTTAGGATATTTAACAGGGTGCAGCTTGATAAGGGTGCAAGCCCATGCGTTGAGAAAGTGGGTGTGGGCAATCCAGGCTAAGACCGGAAAACCTGAACTCTAAACTGGGACTGTTGCCACTCCTTATCTCTGTTTATTTCTCAATCTTTCTGGGCCAGGTTATTTTGTGCTCTTTTTGAACCATTTAAACCATTAGCTTTAAATCATCAATAGTGCTCTCTCTCTCTCTCTCTCTCTCTCTCTCTCTCTCTCTCTCTCTCTCTCTCTCTCTCTGTGTGTGTGTGTGTGTGTCTATGAAGATGAAGAAATAAGCTTCTTAAGATATAGAATAGAATAGAATAGAATAGAATAGAATAGAATAGAGCTGGAACGGATCTTGGAGGTCATCTAGTCCAACCCCCTGCTCAGGCAGGAAACCCTATACCATTTCAGACAAATGTCTGTCCAGTCTCTTCTTAAAAACTGCCAGTGTTGGAGCATTCACTGCCTCTGGAGGCAGGTTGTTCCACTGGTTAATTGTTCTCACTGTCAGGAAGTTTCTCCTTAGTTCCAGGTTGCTTCTCTCCTTGATTAGTTTCCATCCGTTTCTTCTTGTCCTGCCTTCAGGGGCTTTGGAGAATAGCTTGACTCCCTCTTCTTTGGGGCAGCCCCTGAGATACTGGAAGACTGCTATGATGACATCCCCAATTCCAGCAACCGTTCCTTATATGTTTTAGCCTCCAGTCCCCTGATCATCTTTGCTGCTCTTCTCTGCTTTTTTCTGCTCTTTTACGCCTTCCATTTGGGGACGGGGGTGAGACAGTTCAAAACAAAAAGACTGAATTCTCAGATTGACAACCTCCTTCCCTCCCTCCCTCCCTCCCTCCCTCCCTCTCTCTCTCTCTCTCTCTCTCTCTCTCTCTGTGTGTGTGTGTGTGTGTGTGAAGAGGAAATATTTTTCTCTGGTTTGAGATAGCATCGCCCTTTGGAACCGAGGCAAGCCATCCCCAGCCCTACCGGCTATTTCAAAAGAAAACAAAACAAAACTTTCTTTTCAACAGAATGGCCTTAAGGCCGTTGTGTGTGTGGTTTTAGACAGCAAGGGGGAAAGTTCACAACCTTTCCGTCGGCCCCACGGTGGCTTTCTTAATAAACCCTGCCTGTAAAAAACCCGGACCCGACTGAGGTGCTCCATTTCAGTTTGCCATTCAAAATCTGAGCCAGTGGTTCAAAGCAACTGACCCAGAATTGTGCTGTTTAGTCTGGCACAATTTTCCCACCTCGGTTTGTGTGGACATGCCGTCTTTGGCCCTCTGGAGTTGCTCCCAAGTTGCGTGGCGTTATCTATATTTTTTTTTCCTTGCTCCCATCTTTTTTTTTTTTAAACTGTCCCCATGTGGGGAGAGAACCCTCCAGAAGGAATTATTTTGAGGCCCAGGAATCAAGTCAAATAAGCAGAATAACAGAATAACAGAACTGGAAGGGACCTTGGAGGGCATCTAGTCCAACCCCCTGCTCAGGCAGGAAGCCCCATAGAGCATTTCAGACAAAAGGGCTGTCCGATCTCGCGTTGCCTCGTGACAATGTATTTGCCATTAAGTGGGGGAAAGCAATCCATTTGAACAATATTTAATGTTTTTTTTCTGGAAATCAAAGACAGACTGAATGGGCTATCAAGGGACGCGCCTGCCAGCCCCACCAGAAAAATGAACAGGAGGATGCCATGTTGTCATGTTTTGCCGCAGTGACAATTTGTGGGTGCCTCTAACAGGCAACGAGTGGGAAATACATCTCACTTCCCCCCCCCCATTCTCTGCCTCGGTTTCCCCAAGTTGGCACAACGTGGGAAAAAAGTTTCTCTCTCAACTCTGCTCATAAACAGGGAAGGCATTTAATTATTCTCCGCTTGTTACCAAACACAGGGGCAGCGCTAGGCCAAAGTACTCATTCTGCCGATAATGGCTTGTTATGACGGCTTGTGGCGGTCTGGGCTTATCTTGGTAGTCCAAGCCCCATCGTTCAGGCCCTTAATTTGTTTGATTAAGAGGCAGGGCAGGAAATGATTACGGTTTGAGCTGTGGTCTGAACCCTCTGACGGGAACCGGTGCGCCGCTCAGCAGAGTTCCTATGTTTACCATCAGGGCTGGATAAGGAGACCAACAGGTGATCCAGCTAGGAAAAAGCTGACACTGGCTTCTTGGAAGCTGGCCAGGGATCAACCCTGAAGGAGAACAATAGCTTTTCCCAAGAACAGCTCCCCCCCCCCCCCAAAAAAAAAGTCAGATATATGCAAGGCTCTCTGAATATTGATTAATTATCCAGGCAGGAAGTACAGAGCAGAAATGACTTAAGAAAAGAGAGTTGATTCTAGAACAGGCTGTAAATTTGGACTGCCCCGCAATTTGTATGGCCGTTTTCTCTTGTATGTTAATAATAATAATAATGATGATGATGATGATGATGATGATGATGATGATGATGATGATGATGATGATGATGATGATAAAGTTGGAAGGGACCTCGGAGGTCATCTAGTCCAACCTCCTGCTCAGGCAGGAAACTCTATACCATTTCGGACAAATGGCTGTCCAGTTTCTTCTTAAAAACCTCCAGTGTTGGAGCATTCACCGCTTCTGGAGGCAGGTTGTTCCACTGGTTAATTGTTCTCACTGTCAGGAAGTTTCTCCTTAGTTCTAGGTTGCTTCTCTCTTTGGTTAGTTTCCATCCGTTGCTTCTTGTCCTGCCTTCAGGCGCTTTGGAGAATAGCTTGACTCCCTCTTCTTTGGGGCAGCCCCTGAGATATTGGAAGGCTGCTATCATGTCCCCCCTCGTCCTTCTCTTCGTTAAACTAGACATACCCAATTCCAGCAAGTGTTCCTTATATGTTTTAGCCTCCAGTCCCCTGATCATCTTTGTTGCTCTTCTCTGTACTCTTTCTAGAGTCTCAACATCTTTTTTACATCGTGCTGACCAAAACTGGATGCCGTATTCCAAGTATGGCCTTACCAAGGCCTTGTAAAGTGGTATTAACACTTCATGTGATCTTGATTCTATCCCTCTGTTAATGCAGCACTAACCACCCCAGTTGAAGAAATAAAATACAGGCCTGGTGAGAAATGTTCAGTTTTACACCCTTGTCTGGTTTGCTGAATACAGGGACCAAAGCAGAACCAAGGGCTTTGGACACTGTGAGTAAAATAAACGAAGCTTCAGACAAGGTAAAAGTTGTGTCAACACAGCGAGGCTGGATATGGGCAAAACAACTTCAGGGATGATAGAGTAACAGGTCTGTTTTAACTCTGCTAAATTCCTTTGATCTAAAGTTGAGTCTTTCTTAAACTGTGTCCACTGAAGCTTTGAATGATCTGTGGAAAAAAACAAAAACCAAGGACAGCACAGCATTTCAGCAGGAAAAGCGTTTCCATTTGGTCCTGAAGGGCTGGTTTTCTATATACAGGGAAAATTATATACAGGGAAAAATACAGGGGCTGCCCCAAAGAAGAGGGAGTCAAGCTATTCTCCAAAGCGCCTGAAGGCAGGACAAGAAGCAACGGATGGAAACTAATCAAGGAGAGAAGCAACCTGGAACTAAGGAGAAACTTCCTGACCGTTAGAACAATTAACCAGTGGAACAACCTGCCTCCAGAAGCGGTGAATGCTCCAACACTGGAAGTTTTTAAGAAGAGACTGGACAGTCATTTGTCCGAAATGGTATAGGGTTTCCTGCCTGAGCAGGGGGTTGGACTAGATGACCTCCAGGGTCCCTTCCAACTTTACTATTATTATTATTATTATTATTATTATTAATAATAATAATAATAATAATAATAATAATAATAATAATAATAATAATAATAATAATAATAATAATAATAATAATAATAATGGAGAGAAACAACCTAGAACTAAGGAGAAACTTTCTGACAGTGAGAACAATTAACCAGTGGAACAACCTGCCTCCAGAAGCGGTGGATGCCAACACTGGAAGTTTTTAAGAAGAGACTGGACAGCCATTTGTCCGAAATGGTATAGGGTTTCCTGCCTGAGCATGGGGTTGGACTAGATGACCTCCAAGGTCCCTTCCAACTTTATTATTATTATTATTATTATTATTATTATTATTATTATTATTATTAAGAGGAAAGGCTTCGGTTGTCTTTAATTTCCAGTTGCAGCGACAAGGACTCCCTTTCTGTGACCTTCCTAAGGACAATTAATATTTTTTCCAGTGACCGGGGTGTGCGCTGAGTCAGATCTTCCCTTCGCAAAAATCTGTGCAGAAACGGAAGGGTGCAAACGAACTCAATGCCTGCCTTACTTTTCCAGGCCCGCTGCTCTCCCCCCTGACCATCTACTGCCCCAGCCAGACGGAACTGAAGCACTGGCTCTACCACCTGGAGAAACAGATCGATTTAAACGGAGGGCGCCCGGATTTGCCCCTGGAGACTCAGGTGAAGATCTAGAGGTGGGCGGGGAGATGGGCCCCGAGGAGGGCGCCAGGTCCATCGCTCGCCTCCCTCTGCAAAAGGGGGCATCGCTGGGCCAGGCGGTGGGCCCCCAATCTAGGTTCAAGAGGGAGGGAGGGAGGGAAGGTGAGAAGGGAGAGAAGAAGGAAGGGAAAGAAGGAGCGAGGGAGGGAAGGAATGAAAAGAGAGGGAGGGAGGAGTGAGAAGAAGGAAGGGAAAGAGGGAGGGAGGGAGGGAAGGAATGAAAAGAGAGGGAGGGAGGAG